GGGGGGTGGGGGGGGGAGGGGGCGGAATATTGGGGGGGGGGCTGTCGGTGCCACCCCCCCATAGGTAACCGAGGAGCACGGGCCCCCCCGGTGGGTGACAGAGATGGGGTGAGTCCCCCCTCTGTCCCCGATGTCCCCATTAGGTGACTGGGGGGGTCGGTGTCTTTGGGGGGGGGTCCTGGTGCCCCCCCCCGGGCTGTGCCGCTCTCCGTCCCTTCCAGCGCGGCCGCGTTTTGAAATTTCCAGATCGTCCCTGCCGAGATATTTCCTTGAAACGCGTCCAGAGAGCTTATTAGTCACGTAAATACGGAATAATGGGAATACTCGGCTACCGTCCCCGCGACGGASCTGGAAGGAATTAAAAAACTCTCCTTTCTGTGATTATTGCTGTTATTATTATTATGTCTRGTGTTTTTTTTTCCCTTTTTCCTCTGGTCCTGCACCCGGTGTCTCTGTATCCGGCCCCTCACCTTGCCAGGGAGCTGGGAACCGAACCCGTTTGTCATTAGCGGCGTCCTGCCCGCCAGCTTCTGTAGGATAAACCATATGTTGTCACAACACTATTTTTAATTTAGGGTGTTGGTTACATCACATCACTGAGTTGGGCAATCTCTGTATGAGGACGAAGGTAATTACCGTTCTAGGGTTTATCAACTTGTATTTTAATGAGTGTTTATCAGCGTTATGGGAAGTAAGTAGCAAGAAGTGGATTGGATGTGAACTTGGTTGTCAGCTTTTTCTCTCTTAAAGAAGGAAGAACCCTGAAGAAACTCAGCCTATAGATTAGGAAAAGCTTTTATTTTGGATGGGTGGAGAGGAGGAAGACCATGGGCAGCTGTGTTAAATATTTTGGGAAGCTCTTCCGAGTCCCTGTGGCACRTGAATAGTGCTGTCTATTTTCCAGATGAAGTCTGGTCTCTGGATTGTTTGGTGGCCAAGGGCCACTAATGAACTTTGCTTCCTTCACCGCCGCCCCAAAGAGAAATAGTCAAAGGCTACTGGTGATTAAATGGGCAGGAAAGGATAAGAGCAGAAGCGCTCGCATGTTTGCACAGGGAATAACGCCACAATTAGTGGGCTATTAAACACATATGCTCATTCTGCAGTTGTTCTATAAACAGTTCCTCCAGCTTGTTGAGCTTCTCTGCTTCCTCCGAAACGCTCTGCTGAAGGAGATGCCAAGAAGCTCCTCCTAATGCACCGTGGAGCCCGGGCTTCGGTTTCACATGAGTCTGCAGTAGGTAAATGGAAAAAAAATTGCAAAGGCTGCTGCTCGGTTGGGTTTTAAACGCGCTATAACTGACGACAGGGTTGTGTAATATGGATAATAGCCTGGAATCCAATACTGTTGTTTGCGCTGCCTTGTGTCCGACGCGTGTGCAGTCCGACCTGTTTTATGCGCTGGGATAACGCGCTCGTGCGTCGAGCCTGGTGTTTCAGGGAGACTCCGTGCTTCAGGAATTCGGGAATTTGTTTCCATGTCGCATACAGGGGACACGCAGAGAGCGGCAGAGGTSCAGCTTGCAAGGCTGCGTGTGCCTGTTTGTCCGTAAGGGAATTTTCTCCAGATATTCAGCTGGAAAAAAAAGTACTGCTCTTCTTATGGTAAAAAAAATTACATTGGCATCGTACAGAGCCCCTRAAAGGTTGCCCGTCTGCCCCTTGTGTAACTTGCCGCCCCAGAACGGCTTCCACGCGGTTGTGAAATTACAAGCGCTGCAGCCGGAGGCCGAGCRTTGGAAAATGTGTCCTAAGTCAGCTTGCCCAGTGACGAAATGGAGCCGTTTTGGTGTTTTAGCCTAAAACCACCTTTCTTGGTCTCCAAGGACTGCAGTTCTCTGTTAGCTTGGCTTATTTGGTGTTTCCCCTGGGTGTCGGTGCAGGTTGTCCCTTGTCTCTCATGGTCTCTCTCCAGGCATCTTGCTGTCCCATAGAGGACACACATCTGCCGTTATTTTCCCCTTTCCATCTTTATCCTGGATCCTGTTCATGCCGTTTTGACAGGATACTGTATCTGTCACCATCTGCTCTACCTAGGTACATCTCTTGCTTTTCACACCCATGTTTTTAGCAATATTTAGGGGGTTCCGGAGAAGTGGAAATCCGAACRCACAATTCCAGGCATTACACAGCAAACCTGCCCGGCTCTTGGTACGTGGCCTAGGTGCTGATGGAGCAAACAGCGCCCCAGCTGCTCCTGGAGCCTTCATGAGGGAATTTCCAGCCTTTTGAATGCTTCAAAAACTATTATTTTGTGAGCGAGCACAATACATAACCTTTTGACAGTAAATGACGTGATTATTGCCTCCCTTTCTGCATTTCTCKTGGCTTGTACGTTGACAGAAAGGTTCCACCCAAGCTCCCACCACCAACCCTGGCTTGCAGGATGCACGTGCAGCGTTTTGAACCGAAGCCACCAYCCRATTCACTGGTGAACTTTGGCAAACRCACAAATATTTATTGGGGGCTAAGCTGAGATAACCAGAGCACGTTGCCCCGTGCTCTACTGTCCGTGCTGAATTTTGGAACCTTCTCTGGCAAAAGTGGCTTCCCCGGGCTCGGAGCATCCTGCTTTTCCTGGGCTCCTTTTAAACCAATAACGACASCAGTCATGTTTTCTTAAAGGTTGAGGGTAAATCAAATCTGTAGAGTCACCTTCAAAATAAAATCAGGCTTTTATTTTCGAGCAAATCATTATAGATGCTGTGTTTAGCGTATTAAATGCCAAATTAAGGCTGTTGCCGTCAGTACGGGGTCTTTAGGGTAAAACCCATCTCGTGGGGCTGACCCAAGGTGTTCTCCTGCTTCCCGGTGTCAGGAGAACAACGTGCCTTTGGAATCAGAATTCACACAATTATCRGGGAGCCTTTTGCATCACTGCTCCTTTCCCGCAACCTGTTTTTTCCTGCCCTATTAATTCCCTGGTGCTGGAGTCTGTCAAAATTGAAGCTGTTATGACATCAGTAACATGAGACTGTGACATTACCAAATGAATCAGCCAGGAGGAGGCCGCCTGCAGAGGCAGCTCCTGGCACAGCAAGAATTCCAAGGCAGATTTGGGACGGGATATGCGGAACAGTGCGAGCTGCTAAACTCCTGCTAAATGGTCCTGAACACTTGAAGGGAAGGAGACAAAGAGACACTTAACATTGTGCAGGAGGAGTTTCTGGCCTGTGGCAGTTTCCTTTCAATTATTTAGGGTAGCTTTCTTTTTTTCCCTCGACCATATACCATTTTTGACCACCCTTTAGATCTGCTCAAATTATAGATTCATCGTTTTCAAATTGCATGGGAAGGAATCGTCTGTAATTTACATCTGAAGTGACGTACAGTTGCTATGGGATTCGGTGGCAAATTATAAACCCATCGTGCTTTCCTTTTTATACTGATGGTAGCAGACTAAAGAAGTAGGTCTAATTGGGGACGTGCCAAGGGAAAATAGAAAGTTTGTGACAAAATCCTTTTTTTTTTTTTTTGCTTTTTTCCCCCAAACACTGTCTGCTTTTAATCAACAAATTGTATGTCTTAAATGGGCGCTGTTAATTTGAAGAATTCCATTAGTGCATTAATAACTTTTTTGCTAATACTGCTGCGGAGCAAAGTTCATTAAGCCAATAGGCTTTTCCTGTCTTACGATACTGGATTTTTGGGTGGTTTTTAGGGATTATAACTGGAGCGTTTTGGCACTGGTGTCAATAGATTTAGCAGCTGGACCGTGGGGATTAAATTCATCACCTTGCAAGACTCAACCCTCGCGCCAGCTCATTCTGCACTTTCCAGCTGAATTTAAACAGCAGCGAAGGGAGGAATGAGAGTTACTGTAAAGTTTTTGCCTCTGTGTGAAGCCCATCTGACCAAAGGCAGCGTTTGGATTAGTCCCTTAAAACCAGCCTTGCAGTGGCCTCTGAGGTGACTAACGTGCACTAATAAATCGTGCCTTGACTGGCTTGTAAAGCAGCCTGTGCTCGCGTGGGGAGTCGGCATGTCTCACGCTCCAACATCATCATTTTCTTCCGAACCTGTTCCGTTGGTTTCTGCCGTCGTGCAGACCCGTGGGGACTGCTGAAAGAATTTGCTGGCGTAGGGCAGGCTCTGCTGGCACGGCAGAACCCTCCCTGTTACTCGTGAGCAAGGGGAAATGGATTTTTAAAAGGCATTTGAGGGCATCTGAACGCGTTATCTCCTGAACGGCTTGCCCGTGCCCTGCTTTGTGTTAGACTCTGGTCTAAATTCTAAGCATGAACTAGGGAAGCGTCTCCAAATCCCTGGTTTTTGTGCGTGTTGGAAAATGGGAAGGGAGAGACTGAGTGCGTTACTCTTGCACACATTTGTGTTGATTAATCCCTGGGAGAAGAAGCCGTTCTGACTTAGTGGCTTTGCTGCTGATGTGCAAGAGAAGGCATTGGAATGGATGGAGTGGCCGCATGGCTTTAGGTGGACTCCAAAGAGATGCTCTATGTCCAAAATCCTGTCCTTAATTTTCCAATTTTTGACTCCTATAATTAATATATTGGCTTGATTTTTCCTTTGGTGGAGCAGGAGGAGAGGTAGAGTGGTGCTCT